GTAATCATATATACTAATTATCTATTTTATGTATAATCATATAAAAATATGATTTTTATATAATGATTAAATGAAAAATATGAAACTATAATTTATTTTATAGTAAAAAGTCTTATAAACATAATGTCTTAACCAAATTGCATAATATAATTTATTTATACTATAACCAGATTGCATCAATGGAATTCATTTTGAGTGGAAACTTTACTATTTATATACATATACACAACTTACAAATATATATATATATATATACGCATGCATGCATATATGATTAGATTTATTATAATAATATGTGCAAATACATGTGTGTGTGTGTGTGTGTGTGTGTGTGTATATATATAAATTAAATTTAAGTTAATTGAGGATACCTCTATTTCTCTTTAAAATTCAGTCTGTATCCAAGTATACTATTATGTATATTGTTATATAAAAATTTATTAGTATGTTATTACGATTAGTATTTGTATTAAACTCGTTTTATTATTTATAATATATTTTTAAATTATTTATATTTAAAATAAATAAATTTAAACGAAAATATGTACACTAATTGTAATATATTAAAAATAATTTTTAAATGAAAACACATAAAATTTAGACACACGAGTGTAAGTGTAAATAATAAAAAGACACATAACAATCACTCAGTTGAGTAAGTACGTGATTATATATTAGCAATTAAGTTAAGTATAATTAATTAAGACCAAATGGTTGAGATTAGTGGGCTAATCGAAGTGGTGGACCAGCTGTGCAGAGAGCAAGATGATCCTTTGGGATATACAAGGAGACTTTTTCCTGTTCACAGTATGCGGCGCAATGGATTCTTTAATATTCCATTTTAAATCCTCCACAACTGTTCGGAATCTCCATTGGCTCCATCAATGTCAACGCTTAAACCCTATATAAACTTCCCGCTTACACTCCTCTCCTTCCACAACCCATTTCATACTTCAATCGATCTATTCATACAACCTTGAAAGAAACTAAAAATGGCTGACGGTGTGGGAGAACCAGGAAGCTCCATGCATGGAGTTACAGGCCGAGAACAAAGCTTCGCTTTCTCAGTGGCCTCCCCCATCGTCCCGACGGACACGACGGCCAAGTTCGATTTACCAGTTGATTCAGAACACAAAGCCAAAGTCTTCAAGCTCTTCTCCTTCGCCAACCCTCACATGAGAACCTTCCATCTCTCTTGGATCTCTTTCTTCACCTGCTTCGTCTCCACTTTCGCCGCCGCTCCTCTCGTACCCATCATCAGAGACAACCTCAACTTAACCAAACAAGACATCGGAAACGCCGGAGTTGCCTCCGTTTCCGGCAGTATTTTCTCCAGGCTGGTCATGGGTGCGGTCTGTGACTTGCTGGGTCCTCGCTACGGCTGCGCTTTTCTCGTCATGTTGTCGGCGCCGACTGTGTTTTGCATGTCGTTTGTGGCGAATGCTGGAGGGTATATCGCAGTGAGGTTCATGATTGGATTCTCGTTGGCGACATTTGTGTCGTGTCAGTTTTGGATGAGTACGATGTTTAACAGTCAGATAATTGGACTGGTGAATGGGACGGCGGCGGGGTGGGGGAATATGGGTGGCGGAGCCACTCAGCTCATTATGCCTTTGGTCTATGACTTAATTACCCGCATTGGTTCCACTCCGTTCACCGCTTGGAGGATTGCTTTCTTTGTTCCTGGATGCATGCATGTCATCATGGGCATCTTGGTCTTGACTCTGGGCCAAGATTTGCCTGATGGAAACTTGGGTGCTCTACAGAAGAAGGGTGATGTCGCCAAAGACAAATTCTCCAAGGTAAATATAAATATACACATATATATAGAGCATGCATAATACAACTTCCAAGCATGAACATAGAGTACTGTTCCATTCTAACTTATCTTATTTTGACTGATCAGGTTATGTGGTATGCAATCACCAACTATAGGACATGGATCTTCGTCCTTCTCTATGGTTACTCCATGGGTGTTGAATTGTCAACTGACAATGTCATTGCTGAGTACTTCTTTGACAGGTCAGTTCTTGACTAATTTTGGTGGTTTAATTAAGAATTAGATTACTTTTTCAAAGATTAACGTCATGTGGTTTGCAAGTATAGGTTCAATCTAAAGCTACACACTGCTGGAATCATAGCAGCAACTTTTGGCATGGCGAATTTCGTGGCTCGACCATTTGGTGGCTACGCTTCCGACGTAGCGGCTCGTATGTTCGGCATGAGAGGCCGTCTCTGGGTTCTATGGATCCTCCAAACCCTCGGTGGAGCTTTCTGCATCTGGCTTGGCCGAGCCAACACACTCCCCATAGCCGTTGTAGCCATGATTCTCTTTTCCCTCGGAGCTCAAGCAGCCTGCGGGGCAACCTTCGCCATCATCCCCTTCATTTCTCGCCGCTCTCTCGGCATCATCTCCGGCCTGACAGGCGCCGGCGGCAACTTCGGATCAGGTCTAACCCAGTTAGTTTTCTTCTCCACCTCGAGATTCTCCACCGCAGCCGGGCTTTCTTGGATGGGAGTAATGATTGTGGCCTGCACGTTTCCGGTGACTCTGGTCCATTTTCCACAGTGGGGAAGCATGTTCTTGCCGCCGTCGAGAGACGTTATGAAGTCGACGGAGGAGCATTACTACGCTTCTGAGTGGAATGAGGAAGAGAAGCAGAAGGGTTTGCATGCTGGTAGTCTGAAATTTGCAGAGAACAGTCGGTCTGAACGAGGAAAACGAATTGCATCTGCACCAACTCCTCCAAATTCCACACCAACACATATGGTTTGAGTTTTTCTACAACGAAGATGATGATTGAGTTGATCATCGCGAAGAATAATGATCAGGATTCAGAAGGGTAGAAACTTGAGTTTGTGATCTTTCCTTTTTTTTTTTTTTTCAAAAAAAGAAAAGAAGCCTTTTAATTCTGATTTACATAAAATATATATAGATTTGATTCTGGGTTAACTCGACGATGAAGAAAAGAATCAAGTGGGTGTTTTGTTTAGTATCCGAGATTTAATGAAGGATCATGCATGGCCTGGAATTATCTGTGTAGAATCTCAACTTGCATTATACAGAGTTGGGTTTTCAGGGGGAAAGTTGACTTGTCTTTGATTGTGAAACACAGTTGGAATTTAAAAAAAAATAAATTTAAATAACCAAGAAATGCTTTATATATTCTATATATACATAATATATATATATATATAGTTTGACAAGTTAATTATTTTCTTTAGTCGATAAGTTTCTTCAATCTCCTGAAGTGCAAATTACTTAATGAGATTCAGAAGCAAGCTTATGCTTGTTACTTAGTCCTCTCTTGGGGTACTTCTGTTTGGGAGGAGAGAAAATTAAAAAGAAAATGAAATTCTCCAAAAGAAAATATTAATTGAGATAGAATGTATTATATACAGATTTAGTACATATACATGCGTATAGCTAAGCTGTTTCAGAGCACAGTGCTAGCTTAGTCGTTTACTTCGGAGATGATAATCTTATCGAAGGAATCTGTTTTCTGAATTACGTTTTCTTTTAAGAGAATCTCCATGGATGAGAATATTTCAAGCATGAAATCTCTATGTACAAACAAGAAAGTTTATATATATGCATATATATACACACACACACACACATATTATAATTATAATGATCATTTTCTCTCACTGTAAGATTAGGTGGCATTTGAAAAGTACATTATATCATATATATATATATATATATACACACACATTGAGGGGCTCAATTATTTCCTACAATTTTGGAGAAGTGGGATTTGATTAATTCTCTCTCTTTCTATATACCTGCTTATATATATATATATGATATTATATTATATATTAGCAAAATACAAATCAATGAAACAAATGTCAATGGATTCTGAAAGAGAGTTTAAATTAAATTAATTATAAACAACCAAACGAATATTCAAATTAAATTATTTTAATCCCGTCAGGCCGAATTTTTTTATACATTTTTTTGGGTTTTATTTTAATTGGCTCCATCCATACTTTCCACTTGATAATTAATGCAAAGTTGGTAGGCATTAAACACAAGATGACAACTCGAGTAAAGGTTATATGTATATCTAAACAAATATGTATTACATTGAATATGTTATATATATATATACATGTATATATATATATATATATATATATCTGCGTTAGGAAATATTAGTACATACATATCCACGTAGTAGACAAATTTTCAGAGGAGTTTTTAATGTTTTGAGCATAATTTAAATAGCTCTGCAATTTTCAAAAATAATAATATAGTTATTTAATTATTTTCTTTTATTATATAAAATAATAATTCTTTTTGTATTTTCTC